ATATTACTCTTTCATCTGTCCTTCATGTACCTAAATTTTTCTTTAACCTTTTATCTGTTAGCCGGCTTGCAAAAAACCTCCAATGTATAGTTATATTTTTACCAGATCAATGTTTGTTGCAGGACCTTTATTTTCAAAGAGGATTTTTGGCAGGGGTTATGAGTGTGATGGGCTTTACCACTTTGGGGAACCACCAAGAACGAGTCTTCAAGTTTCTGTCCTACCTAATTCTAATGTTTATGATGTTTATTTTCGCACTTTTAGTCTGTGGCATGCACGTTTGGGGCATGTAAACTTTCAATATCTTTGTCTATTGTTTCTTTTGTTAAATAAAGCATGTAAGGACCATAAGTTTCAATGTGAAGTTTGTGAGCTTTCTAAACATACTAGAACTAACTATATTTCTCATATAAGTCGTGCTCCTAGTATATTTGATCTTATTCATTCTGATATCTGGAGCCCTTCCCCAGTTACTGCTCTCTTTGGACATTGATATTATGTGACATTTATTGATGATTATTCTCGTTGTACTTGGGTTTATTTATTGAAAAAGAAATTTGATGTGTTTCTTTTATTTATCCAGTTTCTTCAAATGATCAAAACCCAGTATAACACTATTATCTGTAATATTCGTTCTGATAATGGACGTAAATATGTTTCAAATGAGACTGAACTTAATAAAAAGGGAATTTTACATCAACTCATTTGCCCCTACACTCCTGAGCAAAATGGCATGGCTAAACGCAAAAACCGTCATCTTATGTCTGTGGTCCGATGTCTTCTGAGTGGTATGCATGTGCCTAAATTCTATTGGCACATAGCTGTTCTTATAGCTGCTTTTCTGATTAATTGTACTCCCAGTCGAGTTTTGGGTGGTAAGGCCCTACTTCAGATTCTCCAGCCTGACTATACATTGTTTCACCTTCTGCCTCGTGTTTTCGACTGTACTTGTTTTGTTTGTAACTGTAGTCCTTCTCGTTATAAACTTAATGATAAATCAATTAAGTGTATTTTCTTGGGGGTATTGTGTTATGTCAAAGGGCTATCGTTGTTATGATCCTGTAGCCAAACATATGTATCATTCTCTTGATGTGACATTTCATGAAACTGTTCCTTTTTATAGTACTAATTCTATGGTACAGGATTCTCTCTCTTGTGGTCTAGAGAAGGAGATTTCTCCTATTGCCCGTCATGTTCCTCTTTTTGAAAATCATATTGTCCCGGAATCTCCTTCTCCATCCATGTAAGGTTCCCCTTCACCTTTACAGGTCTACTCTCGTCGCTATTGCACTCAACCTTCCCTGCCAGAATCATCTTCAGAACCAGGTTAGGGTAACTCTCCTTCTCCTATCGCTCCTACCATTCCTGAGCATACCTCCCGTTATCCTACTCGTGATCGTCACCCTCCTAATTGGTATGGTTTCTCTAGTAGCACTAGCCACCCTATTTCCCAGTATGTGTCCTATAATAGTCTTTCAGGTGCATATAAATCCTTCTTGAGCAAGATTGGGACCGCTTCTATTCCTCAATCAGTGTCAGAAGCTCTCCAAGGTCCCAATTGGATGTCTGCCATGACAATAGAAATGGATACTTTACAACATAATAATATATGGGAACTTGTTGTTTTACCTGCTAGGGAGAAAACAGTTGGCTGCAAATGGGTTTTTAATGTGAAGTACTTAGCCGATGGTTCTATTGATAGGTATAAGGCTCGGTTGGTGGCAAAAAGCTTTACTCAGATTCCGGGCAAAGACTTTGGTGCTACATTTGCTCCTGTGGCAAAGTTGACGTCTGTGTGACTACTTATCTCGTTGTCTGCGGCCCATTCTTGGCCTTTGCATTAGTTAGATGTCAAGAATGCATTTCTTAATAGAAACTTACTTGAGACTATATATATGGATCCACCCCCTTGGATTTCAAGCTGAGGGGGAGTATGCTGGGAAAGTCTATCGGCTGCGGAAGTCTCTTTATGGTCTGAAGCAATCTCCTAGAGCTTGGTTTAGTCGTTTCAGCAATGTTGTTCTATCCATAGGCTTTGTGCGTTGCCACTCAGACCATACTTGCTTTATTCGACGTCGCTATGATAGTCACTGCATTATGTTATTGGTATATATGGATGATATCATTATCACAGGTGATGATGCTTCAGGGATTGCTCAGGCAGAACTTCATCTTCAAAAGTCCTTTGATGTGAAGGACTTAGGTCCTCTTCGATATTTTTTTGGAATTGAGGTTGCTAGATCCCGTCGTGAAATTTCTTTATCTCAAGGGAAATATATTTTGGATCTTTTTCAAGATACTGGCATGTTTGGGTGTCGACCCGCTTCTACTCCTATGGGCCCCAATCTCAAACTCGCTGTTAAGTCAGGGGAATTACTTCGAGATCCATCCGTGTATCAATGTTTAGTAGGTCATCTTATCTACTTGACTACCACAAGGCCCGATTTGACATTTGCTGTTAGTGTAGTTAGTTAATTCATGCATGCCCCTCGCTCAGCTCATATGGATGTAATCTACCATATTTTGAGGTATCTTAAGTTATGCCCTGGTCTTGGTCTGTTCTATGCCTCAGAAAATCAGTCTGGACTCACATGCCTTACTGATGCAGACTATGCTGGATGTAAGACAGATAGACGTTCTACCTCTGGCTTCTGTACTTTCTATGGTAATCATCTCATATCATGGAAGAGTAAGAAGCAAACTGTTGTCTCTAGATCCTCTACTGAAACTGAATAACGAGCTATGGCTCAAAGTACTTGTGAGCTCCTTTGGCTTCAATCAATTTTGGGAGAGTTGGGTCTTGTAGAGAAAGGTTCTTCAAGGCTATTTTGTGACAATAAATCAGCCATTATGCTTGCTTTTGATTCTGTTTTACATGAAAGGTCGAAACATATTATGGTAGACATTCACTGTATCCGAGAGAAGGTTCGATCATGTATCATTAATCCTATTTTTGTTCCCTCTTCAGAACAGACTGCAGATGTGTTCATAAAGTCTGTTGGGCCTTCTCTTCTCCAGTCTTCCATAGTTAAGCTGGGCTTAGTCAACATATTTGCTCTAGCTTGAGGGGGAGTTTTGGAAATCATATCTATAAATTGACTCAATGATTGTGACAGATTTATTGGGTCTTCATTATAGGCTAATGTTTAGGGATTTTATTTTTATTCTGATTTGATTTTATTCACTTTATTCAGATTTGATTTTATTCTCTTTTTCATATTTATAATTTTCCTCTTGTATATAATGATAGTCAGGCTCTCAAATTGAGAACGCCAATTTTACCAAGTTACTTTTCTCCTTGTTACAGCTGCAATTTGTCTCGTTCCATCGGAAAATAAAACGTGGCATGTTTACATCTCGGCCCCATCAGTACCTTAAGGCGGTGGAATTAATTGGTTTTGTTGGGTGCAAAAGTGATTTTGAGCTTGCAATGTATTTAATTAAGAGTGCTGTCAATCTTGAGAAGATTACTTTTGATCCTCACGACCCACTTCTTATAGGAACTCCATGGGAGTTCATGGAGACCAAAGAGGATGCCAAAAAGAAAAAGACAGCCAGAAAGCGCGCCAAGAAGCTTGGGACCAAACTTCCAGCTGGAGCAACTTTGGTAATTCTTTAATTATATGTTTGTATAAGCTGGAACAACTTTGGTAATTGTTTGTATAAGCTGGAGCAGCTTTGGTAATGCTTTAATTATATGTTTGTATATGCTAGTTCTCCTACATCCTTCCGTTGTAAGTTTATTTGGTATTGTATGTTGGATAGTTGAACCTTGGGAACATTTATTTTATTTTTACTACAATATCAAAATTTTATTAATTTTTCCTTTTCATTCACTTTTCTCTCCCCTGTTCCTCCATATACAAACTAAAAACTACATATTAATGCTTTAATGGATAGTTATCCTTTAACTCCTTGACAAGATAGACCTCAGATTAAGCAATGGCTAGACTGCATAGTTTTGGCCCAAATGGGCTAATCCTGGCCTGTCCAGCGCAAGTTTGGTTCCAGTTGAAGAATAAAGAGCTACTAAATCTCCACCAAAATTCTTCATGTCAAAATATTCAACTACTCACTTAAGCAATAATTGCAAGGATTAACTTGGACCAATTACAAACATGAATCCGAAATGCAAAAACATCAATGCTAACCATTTCAATATGGAAAACTACGACCCACATGTACATATAGAAAAAATACATAGAAAATCAAGTTCTTGGAATTATGTGTATAAGAAACTGTTAATACCTGTTCGTACATCAACATAAGTAAGGTCACCCGATCCATTTCCTACAAATATTATATGACCATCTAGATCTTCAGTGACTGCTTTAATTGGGGTCTCGTGAAAATCTGACCTTCTCTGAGCAGAAATATCATAGAGGCAAACCTGTAGAAGATAATAAAAATACAAGTTACCAAGTGGCTAGTAAAACCATCATTTGGGTAAAAGAAAGTTTTTGCCGTGGACCTAAAGTAACTAACTTCCCTTAACATATTGTTTAATTAGTTTATTTTATAATTGGATCCCTATATATTTGTGGATTACAAACTAATTATTCAACAAACAATTGGCTGATGCTTCTAACAAATTATTTGTGGATATGCAATAATAGCTCTCTATGTGTGTGTTGGGCACGCGCGCGTGAGAGAGAGAGAGAAAATGTAATGTTTTTACCTCAAGTCAAGCACGTTAGAAATCTTAATGATCAGGACGTGGGTGCGTGTGTATGAGCAAAATCATAATAGACACAATATGATCAGCTTAGAAGTACTACCTCACAAGTTGGGCTCTAGGCATAATGCATGTGTATGAGCAAATTCACACGGTATTGGAAGTACTATAGTGTTTCTGTTATCTAAAAGTTTTTTTAATTATTATTATTAATAATAAATTTTTATCTTTAATTGGAATGGTGAGAAGGAAAATAAGGAGGGTTGTGTTTAGAGGACCGCATTAGTGGACTTCCTAAAGTTATACTCGTTTTAATATTGTCACAATGAAAGAAGCTGCAAGAACGAGTCTCTTTTCAAAGAGATGGAGGTACATGTGGACACACATTACTCGTTTGAACTTTGATGCATCACATATAATCGATGCAATTCTACTGGGAGACAAGGAAGTTGCAACAGAAAGGCCTTTGTATTTAAGTTGGGTTAATCAAGTCTTGAAATCGCACAACGACTCAATTATAGACGAATTCAAAGTTCAATTTGATCTTGATGAAACTTGTAGATTTGATATTGACAATTGGCTTAACTTTGCAATGGAAAAGAGAGTTAGAAATCTTGCTTTAGACTTAACAGAAAGTACCGAATGTACTAGAGAAGAGGATGAGAATTACAATTTTTCTGACACAAATCACCTGCATTCATTGTCTATTGGGTTTAGTAACTGCAACTCCCTGACCAATCTCTTGTTTTCACATGTCAATGTAACTGGACAAGTTCTCCAATATTTCTTAATTAACTATCCATTTTTGGAACAATTGTCTGTGGAAGAATCTGAAGTCTCGTAAATTTGACGGTTCCTAATCTATCACTCAAATTGAAGCGATTAGAGATAATTTTCTGCTTCAATGTGAAAAGTATTGAGATTTTTGTAATGAATCTCGTATCATTTAAGTACTTCGGACCAAAAATAAACCTACGATTTAAGAATGTTCAGGAGCTTGTTGAATTGTATATGGGGGGTGAGTATTGCAAACATTTAGTTTCTAACTTTTTGGAGATTTCAACCTATCTTTCTCGGCTAGAGAGCCTTACATTGGAGATGACCTCCATCAAGAAGGTTAGCAAGTTGACTATCTAATTCATCTTATCTCCTCCCCTTCATTTTTACTTTATTATTTTCTAACATAATTATCAATCTGTGCTAATTTACTTTTTCTTTGGTTTATTTATAATAGAATTCAGTTTGCTGCTAAATTTCCAGTATTTAATAAGCTTAAGCAGCTGACGTTGATAATTACTGCAGATGATAATGATAGCCTTATGGTCTTTACTCCCCTCATAGAGGCATGTCCTTTGTTGTATAAATTTGTGTTGGAGGTAACAAGTCTTACTTTACAACCATCTATCAAAACTTATCTTGATTTTATTATTTCTTAAATCTTCAGAATTTTTTTTTTTTTTTTTTTTTTTTTTTTTTTTTTTTTTTTTTTTTTTTTATGGATTGATTAAAGGTCTCTATTAGTTTGCATGTCCACTTAATCTTATGTTTAAGGCAGAATAGTTATTTATGATTGGGTGACTAATGTCAAAAAAAAAATTAAAAATTCCCTGAGCCTTACAGTGTTATGTCGTGATTCTAATTTGACCTGAATATGGTTGGTAATTTGGTTTTGTATGCTAAAGGTTTACCTGAATGTATAAAGCACTGTATGACTCCATTCCTCCATTACTCCTTGTTTACAGCTTGCATGGACCAATTGCAAATTGAGAAGAAAATGGCAATGTGTGAAAAGTTGGCCCATCAGTACCTTAAGGTGGTCGAATTCATTGGGTTTGTTGGGCATATAATTGATGTTGAGCTTGCAATGTATTTAATCGAGAGTGCTCACAAACCTGAAAGATTACTTTTGATCCTCACAATCCATCCCTTATAAGGAATTCCTTGGGAGTTTATGAAGACTAAGCAGAAAAATAGTAGCAAGAAAGCACGCTGAGAAATTTCAAACCAAACTCCCCGCTGGAGCAGCTTTGGTGATCCTTTAATTAGTTATACATTTGTATAATTTATTTATTAGTTGCAAAAGGAAGTGGAGAGATTTTATTTATTTATTTATTGTTATTATTATCATTATCATTATTTTAATAATAATAATAATGGGTTGTGTATGATTAGCAATGTTTAGATGATATCTTCATCTTACATAGAAAAAATTAAGTTTATCCATATTTATAAAAATTACATTAGCAAATACTTCTGTGAACCTCGCCTGAACCTATTCGATTAGATTCAATCTTATTGGTCTTAAGAACAGTATGAAATCCTTTCTAACGCAGAGTTTTCTTATGTCTAACACGATTGATTTCGCCAGTGGTGGTTACACCATTAATGTTGTGATTCTAACTTAAACAGTTGTGATTTTGATGCTTGGTAATTTGGTTTTTTTATGCTAATGGTCTTCAGTCATATGTATAACAATGGTCATATGTGTTTTTAACTTGTGAAACAATTATGATTTGATGTTCGGCAATTTGGTTTTGTATGCTAATAGTTTGCCCATCATATGACTCCATTCCTCTTTGTTAAAGCTGCGATAATGAAAGGCTTATGATTTTTACTCCCCTCATGGAGGCATGTCTTTTGTTGTATAAATTTATGTTGGAGGTAATGAGTCTTACTTTACCACGTGTATTATCTCGACTCATTTGGGCTTCGGCTTAAAAGCTTTTAATTTTCCCAAGTAATTGCTTCTATATGACTATTACAAATTACGAGAAAAATGTGTGATAAAATCCTTTAAACATATTATAAAACTTTCAATATATTAATACTACTATTAAAAATAATTTTGACAACCAAACTGTGTAAGAAAATCAATACAATAATGCATATACGGCATCTCCAAATCCTTAACAGTAATTCTTTTACCGAGATATTTAGTATATCAATCATAAATTTTTTATCTCAAGCATGCGTTTGTTTAAAGAGACTCAAACCCTCACCTTCTACTTTTGAAAGTAAATATTATATCCCCGAATTACACATCCTTTAGTAATAATATTTTTCAAAAAACACTCAATTTTCTAATTTAATTTAATTATCATTCTGTGAGCTCGCGACTTCAGAATATCATGTTCTGCACAAAAATGACACGAGATTCAATTCAAAACAATTTGGTGCACAACACAAAACTCAACACGGATTGGAAAGAGTTCCATAGTAGGTTAACATTGGGTTCGAAAACTAACTTACAAACACGAGAGGCCAAAGTAATGTTTTAGTTGTTTTCATTTTTCAACTCATCAACCTAATGCCAAAGGAGTTCTAGAAGATCTAGAAGCCTGATCGTTTATAGTAATGGATATCTGTAACGGGTGGGCGCTTGCCCATTTACCCAAAAGCTCGAACTGTTAGGTAAGGCTGCATACCCACCCATTTATACCCAATCTCTTTCCCATCCGATTCCGATGTGGGACAAAATGACCCTTGTTACATTCTCCCCCACCCAAACTCGCAACGCCCTCGTTGCGGTTGGGCCACCCTGCCTACCCGGGTGGACTCACCTGGACGCCTTCCGGGCCGGGAGATTGGCGTGGCACCGGATCAAGGACTGGGTTTGGCTCTGATACCAACTGTAACGGGTGGGCGCTTGCCCATTTACCCAAAAGCTCGAACTGTTAGGTAAGGCTGCATACCCACCCATTTATACCCAATCTATTTCCCATCCGATTCCGATGTGGGACAAAATGACCCTTGTTACAATATCCATGACGTTTTCAAAAACCATTGGTTAATGTAATTAAAAAAAGAAAAATACTTTCCTCAGGCCGCATAAGTAAAAATGTCATTATGATGTTGATATGAATCAATAAAAATATGAGATGTGTCAAAAAAAAAAAAAAAATTAAATTAAATTAAATAATTAATAAAAATTGTTTGAATCTTTTTGCGGATCATAAAAGGAAAAAATTTTTTTTTTTTTTTTTCCTTATACGTTTGAGATTTTCTATTGCAAACCCTTCAATACGTTACAAAAGAAGCTAAACAATTAGCTAAAACATGGTTTGCGGAAGAGAGGATTAATATTAAGCTTTCAGAATTGCAGAGATAGTGGGCATCGATGAGATTTGGTGGGAAAAGAGAAGGAATTGTAAGTTAAACAAAGGGAGAACCGGCTACTCTCACATAAGAGAAAATCTTCTTCCTGTTTGGAATACCCGTAAAAAGATCTGAATGATTCTGGTTTATTTTATTATTATTTTTTTAATACATATCATGTTGTCATTGGTTCATATTAACATAAGGAGAGTCTTGCTTATGCGGCGTAAGATAAGTTTTTTCCTTAAAAAAAATATTAATAAAATCATAATTTTGGAAATGAAATCTTACAATCAATGGTTTTTAATAGTGGTCTATAAGAAATTGAAAATATATTTGAATAATTAAAATAAAGAAAAAGAAAACCTAAAATGACTTAAAATCGTAATTTTGGATTGATGGCTTGACTTGTTTGAGTCAGGTTCCCTCCTTGGAGGCTGTTTGGGGTAGTTACAGTTGTGATTTCATCTCCATTGGGTTGGGCCGGCTCTCATGGAGCTTGTATTATATCATTGCCTTCCTTAGACTAATTGTACTTATCAAATTAATTTAATTAACTCTACCTTTCAGGAAAAAAAAAAAAAAAAAAAAAAAAAATCAGTTTAAGGTATGTAATTCTCAAATTTTTCTTAAAGCTTTATTTTTTTAAAAAAATAAAAGGATGACAATAGTGGCACTCTATTTTTTTTACATTTGCACTCCAATTTAAAAGGAAATGACACTTCTAAACCTAACTTCACAAGTTAATGAAAAAAAATTCAAAATAAAACTATACAATTACCCTTTTAGATATGATTACATTATGACACCACCAACAAACAAAATATCTCCATAAAAAAAAAAATAATAATAAAAAAAGACGACTATATCACATTATGTCAATAAATTTCCTACTACATATTAAAACAGTTTACATGTGAACCAAGCAAAAGCATAAGTTAAGCTTTATTTTCTAAATGAAATAGTGTACCCTTTCTACGCTTATCATATAGCGGTAAAAGAATGTCACAATTTCACAATAGTTTTACAGCTGGTAAAAGTATGTCATAATTTCAATCCTAGGAGAAAAACGTATTAGTTATAACTTATATGCATTTAACATGTTTTATTACTCAATTTAATATTTAATTGTTGGGATAAATAATATACAGTTGTATGTTATATATATTTTAAATATTGAAAGCGTTTTTATTAGTAAAAGTGTTATAAATTTGCTATCAGTAAAATGCAATTATGCGTTTGGTGACATATTATATAAAACATTTTTTATACTTGAAACACTTTTAAATTTATTTAGTAATATTGTTGCTTAAAACACTTTTAGTACTAATTTTACTATGTTACCCTTATACTAAAATTTTGTTAATTCCCTAATATTAAATATTATAAAATTTCATTGAGTTCAATAATTTATAAATATCAACTTGTATTATTTTTTTTTAAGTATCACATATTTTGTTTATGATATAAAATTTGTATTTAGTACTAAAATATAAATGAAGGCGGTCGGAGAGTCCTAGAATAAACTAGTATTTAGTACTAAAATATAAATGGAAAGTGGTTGGAGAGTCCTAGAATAAACTAGGATATTTGTTCGTTACAAAATCCCAGAATAATTAAGATATTGTTTGGTATTTATTTCTAGGAAGGTCAAAATTATACTTATAAAAACTGTAGAGGGATTATGTTGTTTAAAAAAAATTAGTTACCTAAAAAGACAAACAACTTTTATCTCTAACACAGTTTTAA